AAAAAAAAACCCTTTCTGTAATGATCAGGACAATGAAGGAAAAGAGAACTATTGTATCTGTCTAGGAAAATGCTAGGTAACATGTTTTAATGCAAACTCTGGACTTCCCAGACAACTCTAATTCAGTCCATCTAACGGAACGATGTTGCAAGGAGGAACCAGTCCTTGGAGAGGGACTTTATGCTTGGAAGGGTGGAGGGACAGCGCAAGAGAAGAAGACTCTGGATGAGGTGGATTGGCTCAGTGACTGGGGCAGTGGAGGGGGGGTGTGGCAGACACAATGAGGTTGGCTCAGGATAAAGCAGGGTTCAGATCTTTTGTACATAGGGTCGCCGTGAGTCGGAGACAACTCGACGGCACATAACAACAACAATGAAACACAGATTCTTAGATAATTCAAGGGCTTCACATTTGGACAGACAGGCTAATGATGAGTATCCTATAATGTGCATGTCGAGGTTAAATAACACTTCTTTAAAATGGGTGGAAAGTGGATACAACTCGCTTTTCACATTCCAGAGTATTGTCCGGCTAAACCCAAAGGGGGCGCCTTTCTGCCAGTGTGAGTGCACCAGTTGCTTCAAGGGAGAAAGATCAATAATTTCCTTTGCCACTGACAGTCTCAGAAAGCCCTGGGGTGGGGGGGGTCACTTATAAGTTGGCTTTGACTTGATGACAATGAGCTTGACACTAACACATGTTCCAATTATTTCTCACAAAGCCTTCTAAGGCATATATCTGACAAAAGTGTACTGGAAGCCTCATGTGACAACACTTTATGTGATATGAGGTACTTCACTGATTTAAAAATAATAATTATAACAACAACAACAATAACGATACACTACACATAGAATATTTTGAAGCACTCAAAAGATCCCAGGTGTCAAAACAGGACCCCATTATTCTAGATGACACTTTTTCCATTCCTAAAATGCTGTTTGGATATAACATAAAAATTTACATTTCAATGACTTTGAATCCACTGAAAGTTAATTGCACAGATGTGTTTTTATCTTCCACGTTTAGCGGTGTTAACCTCGACCCTCTCCATGATTTCACCCTCTTGTTGTTCTTAACTATGTGTTCAATTACGTGGCAGTACATGTAATGAATGAAAAATGCTCAGCAAAATGAAAATGGTCACTTGGAAAAGAAGAAGAGAATCAACTTCATTCTTGTTAGAAATAAAATGTGCACGTTTTGTTTTCCTATACCCTTTGAAAGTAAATGATTCATGAAAGAAAATGTGATAATGGTGACATTTCTAATTTCTAGCCACAAAAAGTTTTTAAAATAATTTTCTCTAAATGGTAATTTACAAAGAAAGAAAGAACTGTAGACATGGTTTTATAATATTTGTCATTCAAAGGGAGAAAAAGAAAAGGAACAGGTGATTTTCTCCGAAGACTATCTGAAGTGCTCAATATTTTCTTATTAACGTTTAATTTTGAGTGAAGAAGCAAGCAGGCAAAACAGTTGAGTGCATAGTATATTTTCCTTATGTAAACACATCGTGTGTGTGTGTGTGTGTGTGTGCATGCGCCCGCATCCCCTGCAGGTGAGCTGATTCAGACTCCCAGTGACCCTTTCTTGGGTCTCTAAGATAGCAATTCCATGGACATCTGGTGAATTCTAACTGCAGACTTTTAAGTTAGCTGTCTAACACCAAATTCACTATGTTTCCAAAACACCAGGGAGGAGTGAAAACAGGGTTAATTTTGTGTGTATTTAGAGAGACCATACTGTTTCTAAACAAAACAAAACACAACAAAAACAAGAAAACAAACAAAAACCAAAATAACCCAACTCAACAAAAACCAAACAATAACAAGTTGGCTCAACATTGGCAAATGACAAGAAAGCAAGAAGGAACAGAATAGAATGATCAATTATAGGTTGGTCTAATCTAGTAACCACTGACTGAGCCATCACCCCTCACTGAGCTCAGCAGGTACGAGGTGACCTGGTAATTCTTGAGGCAGGTATCCAAGTACACAAATCAGGACCTGTCAGCCCGAGGGTTTGAAGTAGTCAAAGGTAGCGCTGCTATTTAGGGAATTTCAAGGGTTTTCTCTCAGGAAGCAAAAGAAATTATAAAAATTAGAATATTTGCCTGAGATAAATGGAACTGGCTTAGAACTAGTCAATGTGTTTTTGGTGTCTCATACTGTTTTAAATACTGTATAAAGGGCTGAAGCGAGTCAGAAAAAAAAATCCACAAAACACAAAACTATAGAAAACACATACATAGAAATATATCTCAGGGCATCACTGCGGCTGAGTCAGAACAGACTCATAGCAGTCCCTGCAGCAGCTTTTCAGAGGCTGTAAACTAGGTATGAAGACATTACTCATGGTTCTTTCCTGGGGAAATGCTGGTGGACTTGAACCTCCGGAGAGGCATGGATTTGAGGTAACCAGTGCAAAGACCTGGGATGAGATGGATTGACTCAGCGACTGTGGTAATGGGAGTAGATGTAAAGGAGACAGTGAGACTGACTCAGGATAGGGCAGGGTTCAGAGCTACTGCTCTATGAGGCATAGTATCATTCATTCTCATTCTCTCTCTCTCTCCCTCCGCCCCCCCCCCCCCCCCCCCCCCCCCCCCCCCCCCCCAGCATGTATTGACAGGCTGCATCACTCCTTGGGAAAAAAACACAAAAAACAAACAACACATCATGCTGGAAAATGTAGAGGGTTCACAAAGGAGAAGAAAATCTTCAACGAGATGGATTGACACAGGTAGAGCAACGAAGGGCTTGATTACGGCAGAGATTGTGAGGATGGCACAGGACAGGGCAGGGATACATCTGTTGTTTATAGAATGGCTATGAGTTCTAGTGGCCTCGATGGCTCTTAACAATACACACACACACACACACACTCTCTCTCTCTCTCTCTCTCTCTCTACCTTGGAACCAGGAGTGGCATCTACTCCCTAAACAACATGCCTCCAGAAATTCTAGGAACTTTGATAAATGTCGATAGTTCTAGAAAGGCTACAGGCCTTTTTGTTCATAGGGTTGCTGTGGGTGGTGCTTGACTTGAAGGCAATCAAATAAAAAAAAATTCTATCTATCTATCTATCTATCTATCTATCTATCTATCTATCATCTATCTCTGTATCTGTATCTCTCTCTCTCTCTCTCTTTGCACAAATGAAATGTTCTCCATAGAATTCCATTCGATTCTGGGAACCAGGATTTAGCGCTATGGCCTCAGTGCTGGACAGTCTGGTTTTAAGATAGACAGCTCTGTCCTAAGTTAGCTCACTGGGGGTCTGCATGTGGTTCACTGAGATCATCTTTAAGTCCCTCTGTTATTTCCATCGGAGTTCCCACCCACGTACCAGTTCCTGGCTAATAGGAAGGCTCTCTAATCACATGGCAATGTAGTGGCGATGATGCTTTCATACATAGCTGCTGACCGAGGCCACAGCGTCGCGCCATACCTGTGCGGTCCTACCTGTGTACTCCTGCGGGCAAAGGCACGTGTAGTTATTGACACCATCGACACACGTCGAGTTATTCTCACAGTCATTATCCTCGCAATCGTCGATATTGAGCTCACAGGTCTCTCCTTCAAAGCCCTCAGCGCAAGCGCACCTACAAGTCACAGAATGGAAAAGCAAAATCATACCCCTGCTGAATTTTTCAAGAGAAGTCATTTATAGATTGGGAGGAAAAAAGAAAAGAAAAGAAAAAAAAAAAGCTTAAGTAGGCTCATCAATTACAGAGCTTTTAACTACAAGGAATTGATTTTTTTAAAATGCATTTAAATGACATGTTGTAAGCATTTAAGGTCATTTTTCCTAAACCAGAAGCCATTTCCGGGGAAATAAATAGGTTGGCTGCAAGATAGTAAATGGCTTCATGATCTTACGATTTATATATCCAATATATTTTAAAGTCTAAACACAACTGCAATTAACTCTATGGTCCCAAATCCTTAATCTCTAGTTGAGCACAAATAAATTAATTCTTGCCATTTTGCTCATAAATGATGAAAAACCGGTTCCCGTTAACACTTTAAAATATCTTCTACCTACATGGTCTTTTAAGTCTGGAAAAAAAAAAAACAACCCCTGATACAGAAATCTTGTCTTCTTTGTAATTTCAAAACGTGAACATATCTGGTATCATGAAGTCTCAATGAACACAATTTCCCCCAGGCGTAAAACATTGCACATTTACTCTTGAATAACTATCAGAATAATATTTGGTTAAAGTCAAGGAAAAAAAAAGAGATAATTTCTTAGTGCAACACAGAAGCAAAATATATTTCTTCTACAAAGTGACATTTCTAACAAGCGTCGGTAGAGGATGAGCCTTGTTACATGAAATGATTACTATCATTAAATAAAGAATTCTATTTCATAATTCATGATGTGCATCTGGAGTAGTTGCATTGTATGATTAAATAAGTCCAGACTGAAAACGTTCACAGCATGTTTGACTATTCAGACTGTGGGCTGGAAAGGAATAATTAATTTTCTCTTTCAGAAGGACCTATATGTTATCATTTGCCTATTGTCTATTATAGCGATATACAAATCAACAGGTGAATATTTGACTTGCAATAGAGGACTACTATTAATTAACACAATGACGCCAGTACTTTCTCTTCTCCTAATCTGATTTGATTTCTCAACATGCATACATACACTTTCACGTCTTGTTTTGAAGCATCCTTAGCTGATAAAACTACACTGTGCCCAAGGGTTTTTTTTTTTCTTCTTCATTGCGATATCGCAAAGATGGACCAATAATATTGTTCTTATCAATTTTAACAGGTTCTTTTGCAAATATTGCATAGTGGCACTGTTGTAAAATGGTACTGACATCTGCGTTGAGGGAAGACTGAGAAAAGGGGGATAAATAATGCATACTGCATTGAAACAGGTGTGGGCGAGAACTGTTTAAAAGGGGTATGTGATTAGGTATTATTGTCATGACAGGAGTCCAGAATGAAGGCTGCGTAGTGGAGTGGACTTGGGGGAGAAGGACTGTATAATAATGAAGAATATTTCTTTTACTTTTCAAAGGGAAGAGTGAACTGGGGAGGTAGGGGAGGAGGGGGTAGACAGGGAGAAAAGTGCAACAATGAATGTATGGAAACCCTAAGTCTCTGTAAACTTTCATTAAAATTAATTTTAAGAAAAGGTTCTTTTGGAAATAAATTCCTCAGAACTTGAAAAAGAAATTGCTCATTTGCTTAGCAATTCCTAGTTCAAAACTTTAGAAGGAGATAATTAAGATGAAAGACAGAAACCTACCTGAATCCATCTTTTTCTCCTTCTATTAAGTGGCAAGTTCCTCCATGTTTGCATGGGTTGCTGATACACACATGGATGGGGACATCACAGTCCTGGCCCTAGAGAAGCAATGGTCAAGTACAAGGAAGGATAAATAACAGAGGTCTGGTACGGTCAGCCCAAGAGACCTATGAAAACGTGCAGAGAAGTTCAGTTTAAAAGTGGTGGCCCCCAAACAGTGTCTGCTTACCTTGAAACCATACGGACAGGTGCATCGATAGAAGTCCACTGGGTCATCATTACAGGTACCATGATTCTTACATGGGTTCGATAAACACGGACTGCATTTGGCAAGAATATTAACATCTACTGGCCCTAAAAATAAGTTGGAAAATATTAGAAACCAATGCTTTCTTGAACAACATTTATGTGTAGGGGAGCTCTGATGGCCTAGTGGCAAGAAGCTGCACTGCAATCTCAGTGGTACACGGTTCAAATCCATCAGATGCTCTACCGGAGAAGGAGGAGCAATATCCTCCTGTACCAGTCAGATCTGATTTGACGGTACACACACACACAAAATAATAATAATTAAAAAAATTATGTTCCGTTGAGAAACAGGACATTTTATACTTACTTACTGGTGATAGATCTATAGGAGCTTCTCCTCCACGATGTGATCAAAATAATTATCAACTCAAAAATTAAACAAGGAAGTCTGTGAGGTTCTCTGATGTTGGAAAGAGTCAAGGTTGCTAGCTAAAGTCAGCAGCATTGGATGTTAATGCTCTCAATGTCAATGTTAGAGGGCATATCCTCTAACAGTGGAAAAACCTTCTGACTGTGTTCCTGGACCATGGTCTGCCCTTAGCCTCAGCCTGCTGACATGGAGATGCCTGTTACTGCTTCCACATATTAAATGCACACTTAGCTGCAACCATTGTCTTCCGGTTACCCAAAAGTAGTGCATGAAAGGCTGGTAATATGGAAATGGCACTAAATAAAATTAAATCTCACTGCTTCTCATTTTCACAGTGTCTGTGAAAACGTCACTCAATTTCCTTTAGGAAACTGTCTCTAATGAGGTCAATGGCAGAGTTACACTTCTCCATACGGAATCACAACTGTGTCATACTAGGAACCTATGTTATGATTCTGCTTTTATCATTCTCTCTGAACCTCTTCATTTTCATCGGGCCATGCAGCAATCATTCTCTGTATCTGCTCCATCACATATAATCTCCAGCAAAATAGTCCAAGACAATTTTATAGTATAGAATTCTCTTCAGCATTTCTCTAACTTCTCAGCTATTTTCAACCAAATACCTGCACACACTTGGGCTCACATGTAATTGTTATGTACCACAGAGTCAGAACCAAATTGTGGCTGACCCTACAGAGGGTTTTAAAAGCTATACAATGTATAGAAGGAGACGGCTCATCTTTCTCCCTGGTTCAGCTGGTTGGATTCCAACCATGTCCCTTTGGATTGGCAACCCAACTCCTTACCACTGAGTCATCAGAACGCCTTTCTGTTCATACACTGTTGCTGGTGGTGTCATCAATTGACTATGACTCATAGTAAATCTTTGAATGGGAAAGCTGAACTCTGTCCTGTCCTGTGCTGTCTGAATCACCTCTACCACATCGAGCTCACTGTTATAGTCCCTGTGATGATTCATATTGTTAAGGGTCTTCCCCTCCTCTGCTGACTCCTCCCCTAACCACATGCCCAGATTATGTGAGAGGAAGCTTCATCATCTTGGTCTATAAGAAGCATTTGGGCTGCCCTTTTTTCCTAGACATAGGATTGTTTGGTTTGAAGTCCAAGAACACTTGAAGGTAACAACAGAGAAGGAAATGTCTCATTATTTGTGGGTCCCTTAGCTAGGTTGGAAGGAATAAAGATTCTCAACTCAGACAAAAAGGCGTCAGATGAAGCACTCTGAATGTAGATATGCCAGAAAAACAGTACATCGGCAGATGTAAGGACTGTCAATGTCCACCTGGCCACTTCCCAAAGCCTTGAGGAAAAGGTCTTTTTTGCCCATTTTTAGGCTTTCAACTGCAGTTTGAATAAGAGTCCAGAGTTGGCAATCTAGACGTTTATTCTATGCAAAGTGACATCTTTCAAAGACTATGTTTGATACTCAGATAATCATCTACAAACTGCTTTAGAAACTCAACATACCATTTGAAGAACCTAATTAAACATAAAGAAATATCATCACTTATTTGCAAAAGGCCAATCAACCTCGTTTGATCAAGGGTCTCTCCAAAGTCCTAGAGAGCACTGGTGTCAGCTTAAAGCATGGTCTTTTCAGCTGCCTCCTATTCATCTGGAAGCTGGACACTTAATAAAGACAAGAGAAGAGCTGATGCCTTTAAATTGTGGTGTTGAAGAAGAGGACCATCACACTGAGCCCCAAAAGAAGAGATCTGTCTGGGAGGAAACAGAACCAGGGCGTTCCTTAGAAGCAAGGATGGCAAAACAGCTCTCAGACTTTGGCCATGTTGGCAGGAGAGCCCAGTCCTTGGACAAAAGGCATGATGCTGGAAAGACTGGGGGAGGGTTAAGAGGAAAAGAGGAAGACCCTTACAGGACTGATTGACGCGGTGACAACCATGATGGGCTTGGGCATGGATTGTAGGGTGCTGTGGTGGTGCAGCGGAGCACAATGGTCAGGTCTGGTGCTCTTAAAGTTGCTAAGGGTCACAGTTGGCTAAACGGCACCCACCAAGCAGCAGCACCAGTTGCCTGTGTCTTTCCAGAACCAAACTTGCTGTCTCGTTATGGTGGTGGTGTCCTCTTTGGGGAATGGTGCTGCTCACCCCAAGGTAGTACTTCTCTGGCAGTTAGAAGCCACCAGTTCTGCTGGGGGACAAAGATGGACAAGCTTCTCCTCTGTAACCAGACACCTGCTGGATGCAGGAGGGCCAGCTAAGAGTCCTTTCTGCCCGGACAGCCAGGAGTGTGTGCAAGTGGTATGGTGATGAGTTCTGCAGCGAGCAGAGCCAAACCAAAGGCTGCATGTCCCCAGCAGCTCCAATCCACCAGTGGCTTCAGAGGAGAAAATGGGCAGTCTTCACCTGTAGCCAATTCCAGCCTCAGACACCTTGGATTTCCAGCCCTGCGGGGTCGCTATGAATTAGAACTGATTGGACAGCAATGAGCAGTAGAGAAATGATTAGTCTCAAGGGGCACAGATGGTCCTGCTCACAACTGTTAGGGAAAGGGCTAGCGGTTCAAAGGCGCACAGAGCACATCAGAAAACTGGCTCAGCCAGGGACAGAATAGCAACACGCAAAGTAAGGGCAGGTCTGTTTGTGCTCCCTTAGCTCTGCTGGCCTACTGGTTAAGTAGTTGTGCTACCAATTCAAAGGCAGGCTGTTCAAATCCACTAGCTAGACGCTCTGTCTTTGGCCATGTTATTTCTTTTTTAATTTTTATTTTTAACATAAACACTCTTTTTTAATTGATTGTTGTTTTGTGCAAATAAGTGAGCATGTAATTAGAGGGCATAGCTTAAACATTCAAGAAAGACTAAGAAATCTTCTCCAACAGTTATTGTTGCATATAACTTCATTCCCTAGGTTATAGAATTATCAGTTTGAAACAAAATCACATGAGTATATTAGTTGGTAATTCTTTTTTTCCCCCTATTCATTCATTGTTGCACTTTTCTCCCTGCCCACCCCTCCCCACCCCAGTACATTCTTCTCTTTGAAAAGTAAAAGAAAAATTCTTTCATTGTTTTTACAATCCCTCCCCCATGAGAACCTTCTGGAAAGCCATCTATGAGTTGATTCCAACTCAATGGCACTTAACAACATATCTAGAGTTGATAATTTCAGTTTTCTTTTAACTAGTTGTAAAGCTTCTGCTTTTAGTTATGACTGGCAATTCTCTCACATCCACACTGTACTTTGTGGGGGAAAAAATAAAATGATCCCTAAGAGAAACAGAGGACCAAGGAAGTCAGATAATGGGCTGGTGAAGTGACTTTATGTGAAATGGCTCAACACGGATCAGTAAGTAAGCACAAATTGTTGTTTTGAACCATGGAGTTGGAGCTGACTCCTAAGTGACCCTCCAATGGGATTTTAGAAGTTCTTCAAGTGCACAGGAAAGCTGATGGATTCGAACCAAGTGATTTTGGGTTAGGAGCACAGCTCCTTACCACCCGGCCACCAGAGCTTCCTAAGCACAAGTTGCCCTGAGCTTGCCTTGTTTATCGGGTGCTGGCTCCTTGGGTTTAGGTATCTTCTCTCAGAAGGTCACAGTTTTGAAGAGGAGGAGGGTAATCTGCACACAGGGGTCTCCACAAGTGACCCCATGCCACTGACAGAATACAGAAATCATTAAGCACAATTACTTCCAGTATCTGGAATTTCTTATTCGTCTGTGAAAGGAGATGCCAGAGCCTTTCTGCAGAATCAGTTTGGCTCAAGTAACCCAAGTTACACACCCTCCCACAAGCAGGAGGCTTCTCTGCAAATTCAACTGTCTGGATAGCAACAGTTTTGAAACACAGAAACTACTACTATGGTGGCCATTCTATTTCCTTCTCTTTTTTCTTCAAGGTGCTTTTAAAGTCAATTCTTCCAAGATCATTGCTATATCCAGAGCAATGATGCCAGTCTAGAAACTAAGGTGCACTTAACCCAGGCTATGGTCTTTGCTATTACTTGCTATGCGTTAGAGAGCTGGGCAATAACTAAGGATGACAGAAGAAGAATCAACACCTTTGTGTTGTGGTCTTGAACATAGCATGGGCCACCGAGGACAAGGAAGTCTGTCTTGGAGAGGGTGAATTCAAGTCTCTTCTTGGTGGCTAGGATTTTGAAGCCCTATCTCACATACTTTAGGCATTTGGCCAGAAGGGACCAATCCTTGGAGAAGGACATCATGCTTGGAAGGGTGGAGGGGTAGAGTAGGAGAGAAAGACCATGGATGAGATGGACTGATAGAATAATTGGAGTAATTGGAGTAGGTGTGTTGGAATCAGTGGGACTAGCTCAGGACAGGGTGGGCTTCAGAGCTGCTGTACACAGGGTGACTTGAAGACACATAACATCATCAACAACTACTGATTGAGAGTTTCAGTGGTGAGAGAATTCAAAAGATGTTTCAAAGTTCTATCGATTCCAACTATCAGCACAGTCCTCCACATTGCCAGTTTTTTACCTAGATGCTGATTTCACGTAAGTAAAATCCCTCCTTGGATTGTGATTTTCATATCTCTCTAACCCTGGTTTCTACTTCATTGCCCCTGCCATGTTCCAATATCTCAAACTGTTTCCTGGTCTCTGACTCACCTCTCATTCACCTGCCTGCCTGTCTGTCTGTCTCTCTCTCTCTATCTATCTCTAGC